GTGAGTTTTTTTTTCAGGGTTGGAGCTGAACTCTGCAGGACTGCGGCTCTCTAGGACCGAACTTGCCTACCCCTGCTTTAGGCCTACTAATTTGGACTAACTTAATCTCTTTAAATTTATTTGCTGAGTTTCTCCATGGTTATTTGTTGGTTATTGATTAGTGTATAATATAATCAAATAGACTGCTAAGCTAAGAAAAGCTCAAATGCAGTTAATGTCATTTTTTTGGGTAAACAATTGGGTAAAAGTGTAATTAATATAATATCACTGGCTGTCTTCTTACCTGCCTCTTTGGTAACTCTTAGCCTGTCCAGCCACTCATCCAGGGGCCCGAGGCATTTGGACAGGTATGTCTGGATACTGATGCAGTCTAGGGGCAAGACGTGGTTGTCCTCCCCTACCCGGAGCACTGGGTTCACCACAATATACCCACCACCAGACTTCTCCTTATCTCTGAAGAGTAAAAATAAATTATATGTTGTACAGTTTTAACAAAATATAGATGTAGAACTGATGAAAACCTTTTAATATAACATTTTAAACATCTAACTGACCCATGGCCAAAGTAATACTGGTAGGAGCCTGAAATCTTGAGGTCAAGGGTGCAGAACTTGTCTGAATCATCCTCTCTGCCAGTAGGGTTAATCCAGCCTAAGACGCGGAACTTGTAGCGCTCAAATCGCTCCCCTTCTGTGGGGTAGTTGGTGTGAACGTGTACGTGTTTCCCCTGAAGAGTGGGGCCCAGACGAAACTGCAGCTCAAACCCTGAGCAGAAACAAAACATAAGCTCCGCAACTCATATTTTGCCATTTTTGGGGTACAATAAATAAATAATAATAAATCAGTTACTATAAATAATGGTGGAATGTGTTCCAAAACTTTTAATGACATACTGTATGTATTTAGTAAACCGTTTCATAATACCAATATATATTTCCATCACGTCTGCATGGCACCAGTAAAATTCTGGTATAAATTGTAGTACAGTAACGGTACCAGATGGCAAAACTGTGGTAATTTGTACTGTACAAATTCCATATTATTTACCATCATAGTAGTGTCCAAAAATTCATTTGTATTAGCATGATACAACCCCCCCAAAAAAAAGACAAAGAAAAAACTGTTATCATTTAAAAAGTACTTACTGTACTCATTATTACTATATAATATTATAAATATAATTATCAAGGCAAAAGCCTATTCCATATAGGCTACAACTTTCCTCATCTCACAAATTTTACATTAAGAACTTGCATAAAACTTTTTAAAACAGGGACGTTTTTCTCTCAAAAGATCTAGAATTTAGATCTGGGTACAAATTAGATGCCAACTATATTCAGCTCGTATGAAAGCATTAACTGTATCTGAGGATGAGGATGCATATGATTTTGAACAAAGTAAGACAAATGATAACTTCCTCAAAAATGCATCCATGGAATTAAAAGTGAAAAGTTCTTAAAGGGGTCATATGATGCGATTTCAAGTTGACCTTTCTCTTTGGAGTGTTACAAGCTGATTGTGCATAGATAAGATCCCTGAAGTTGCAAAGACTAAAGTCTCAAAACCAAAGAGATATTCTTTATCAAAGTTAAGACTCTGCCACGCCCCCTGAAAACGGCTCATTCTAACATGCCCCCACATATCTACCTCACTATGTGGAAATATTAGCACAATGCGGCCCAAATGTGCACGCAAAGAAAGAAAGCATGGTTTCAGTAACCGCAGTTAGTGTAGAAGCAGCCATCACAGTGGAGTCAGCTGTCTTAACCGTGGCTTGTGTACTGCAAACACATACCAGCTTCCTCACTGTGTCTGTCACGCGACTCTGTTCCCCAGAGTAAAGACATTGCTCTGTCTTTACATTTATTTTGAAAGATGAAGCTCGCGATTATGGTAAGGTGCGTTACATTTCCGACGAGTGCTTGCGGTGTTCGGCCAATCACAGTGCACTGGGTCAGCTGGCCAATCAGAGCGGACTGCGCTTGTCAAAGGAGGGGGCTTTGTAGAAAACGAAGCGTTTGAGAGAGGCGGGGCATAGAGGACCTACAATAATGTACAGTATTTGAAAAATAATGTGTTTTTGAACATTAAAGCATGTCAACATATTCTGTTACACCAAATACACAAAATAATGATCTTTAAAAAAGCATCATATGACCCCTTTAACAAAATGTATTTGCTTGAATGTTCCATTATGAATGGATTAACTTTCTCATATGGAAGAAAGCATGTAACCTTTTCATATAGTCAGTGCCAAACTCTTCTGCTATATTTACTATTTATTAGTGCATGAATGAAAAGGTATTGAGCCATAAAGCTGGCTCCTGAGAACACAACACCGTCTATAAATAAGTTAACCACAAACGTTCTGCACGTAACACAGACTACTGATCATTACATTACTGATCACACTACAATACACTCTCATATCTCAGGACGAGGCAAAGCGGTAAACGTGAGCTGAAACTTGCCTTGTTCCAGACGGAAGAGGGTCCTGTCGAGTTTCTCCATGTCATTGAGGACCATCACTCTTATTTGCTTTGCTGTCATGTTTGCCCTCCTTATTTTAGAACGTCCTTAATACAGCGAAGAGCAGGAAATCAACAGGACCCCCTTCACTGAAAAGTGAACCAAAAGATATGCAAATCATCACACTGTATTACTTAAAAGATGACATTTAAATTTAACAGAAGCCCGACTGTAGCTTCAAAATAACCACAGAATTGCAACTGTTTCCTGTACAAGGGAAAATTATTGCAACATTTGACCGTTTGACAGAATGCAAGAGCCATATAACATGACAAAACGAGTGACCACTACAACAGCCCAAACTGCCAGAGGGCTCTGCAGGAATACAGGAATATACCTCCGTCAGGAATTGTATCCGTACGGTAGTATATAAGCTCAATGCACCATGACGACAGACCACCTCTGGTAGTTTAACACTATAGCGCTGTCCGATTTGTGAACGAATCATTCGTTTGAGTCGGATATTTTTAATCGGTTGAACTGGTTCACTGTATTTTAGAATTGTCCGATTCTTAATGAGTCGAGATCGGGTGAGTGAACCGATATATTAATTATAATTAACAAGATTTGATTGATGGAGATAAAAGTTAGGCTACTTTAATAGCACAACTGTAGAAATGACTACACCCAAGAGAGAAAATTAATCTTTGTTTTGTTTAACATAAATGCAAATTATATTTAGCTTGTAAACTTATTTATCATAGCTGTAAAACACTACACTGTCATATAGAATTACAATACACATTATTGTTAAAATGAATATAAACATCCAAAATAAACAGCAATATTTGTACGTAATTACCATAGACTGTATAGAATATTTTCGTATAAAGCGCTATGCCAAGCCAAGGAGAAAAAAGAATCACTGAATCTTTTTTATGAACCGGTTCTTTGAAACAAACTGATCGAAAGAACCGATTAGCTTAAATGAATCGGACTCCCATCACTACACTAAACATGACTGGCATTTAAAGACACGGCCAAAAAGTATCCTCTAACTCAGACTGGTCGAGGTTAAGAATCTAGCGGATAAAGGGCAAGCAAGTCTATTTTAAATGAGTAATCAGGGCAACTGTAATATTTGCCAAGACATAGGCCTACACTGCAACATGCCTACTATTCTCTTCTGATGCACGACAGTCTGAAATCTAAATTGATATAAACATTTCGATCATTTTTGCAAGACAATACAGTGTTAAAGAGCAGTAGGGTTAAAAGACACACCAGTGTATTTTCCTGTTTTCGGTTTACGGACGTTCCTGTCGCTGGTGAAGGACGGCTGTAATTCGCCCCTTCCCTCTACCGTAAATACACTAGTATAAGACACAATGGCCAACTGAATGAAATGTTTTAGTCACAGTGTATGTTTATGCAAATAATTAGATGATTAGATAGAAAAACAGTGTAGGCCAGTGAGGTATTGACATTAAATTAACTTTATGAATAAACAAATAAGCAAATAAAAAATAACAAATAGCCTAGATAAAAACAAACAACTAACCTCCAGCGATTTGCTTCAGATTTTGTCTCCATCTTGTGGTTGTAGGTCCTAAAATGTTACAAGACCCGCCCATTCATGTTCAAACCATAAAATTATTATCTACCAGCATTACCTGAGCAGACAGGTTGTTGACAAGGTAAGAGCAGTGCTTACTTTTCAATCTCTAAAGCCTGCACTCACTTTTTCCAACATATTTATTTACACACATACTATATATTGTCATTGGTATTGTCATGCAATTTCGAGACTGAGAATGTTACTAATGTTTGTTGTTGCTTCATTACGGAAAGTTAATGCAGAATGCAAAAGTTAATGTAAAAAAACAAAAACTGACATACAAATAAAAATACACCCCAGCATTTTCTGTGTTGAATTAAAAATTCCTTTCCAGAAATTACGAACAACTGTAAAATTCAAGGAAAAATCGTGGAAATTCATTAGTCAATATATGTGTGAATCCTGAATGAATTTTAACAAGCAAGTGTAAACTATAACATCAGGAAAAATGGCCATAATTTTACACATGCTTTTCTTCTCTTAGCATATCCACAGATGAGGATCGCGTTGCCTGTGCTGGAAATGTGGAATCTACAAACTGCTCTGGCTATTCTTGGGACTTTGTGTTTGACCTCTATAAGTGGATACAAAAATGGAAAGGTGGAGAAATCTTGTGAGAGCATGATGCCAGAACATCACAGCCAACCCAACACTACTGCCAGCCCATACACACTGACTGTGAATGCCAGTAAATTCAGCCCAGGTGACAATATCAGAGGTACGGGGGTTAAACCTATATGAATTATCCAATCATTATAATTTTTGCCAGTTTAAATGTCTTGAGTAATGTTGAACATTGATTGCTTCCCAGTTGCCTTTATTTATGACCCCTTCCAATGTGTCCAATGTCCATAGTCACTCTCTCTGGAAGTGAGCACTTTGAGGGCTTTCTAATTCAGGCCCGAGATGCTACAAACCCTGATGGACCAGCTATTGGCTCATTCACATTGGTAGATCCTGAGATTTCTCAGCGTTTGACATGCAACAGCATTGAGGTACGTATAGTAAAGGCAACTTTCGATATAAACCCTGCAATATACATTACAGTTTAAAATATTAGCATCAGTAAGAAGAATTTTATTCAGCAAGGATTCATAAAATTGATCAATCGTGAGAATAAAGACCTTTAAATTGTTACCAAAATTATATATACATATTTTTTTAAGTAAATGCTGTTCTTTTGAACTTTCTATTCATCAAAGAATACTGAAGAAAAATGTATCACTGGTTCTGCAAAAATATTAAGCAGCACAATGGTTTTCAGCATTGATAATAATAAGAAATGTTTCTTGAGCACAAAATCAGCATATTGGAGTGCTTTCTTAAGGATCATGTGACACTGAAAACTAGAGTAATGGCTGCTGAAAATTCAGCTTTGCCATCACAGAAATAAATTACAATTGAAAATATATCGAAATAGAAAACAGTTTATATACATTATAATAATAGTTCACAATATTACTGTTTTTACTGTAGCTTTTATTAAATACATGAATCTTGGTGAGCATAATTGACTTTTTTTGGTTGTGTATTTAAGCAATAACACATGAGCAAGAGTGCTTTTGTACTAAATATCATTTGGTTGTAGGTGATCATCGCCGTGATGTTGTATAAATTGCAATTGGCACAGATTATTTTGTAAGAGAAATGTGGCTCAAAATCTGCTTTTAATATTAAAGAAAGTGTGTTATCTTTTAAAGGGTTCTGCAGTTAGTCACACCAGTAATGCCAAAAAGACAGAAATTCAGGTGATTTGGAAAGCCCCGTCCAAAGCTCCTCCCACTGTACAGTTTCTGTGAGTGCGATTTAGACTTATCTTTCAATATTGAAAATATTCATAAACCATTTACTGGATGCATACTGGATCTTTTAAAATTCAAACCTTTTTTTGTGTTTATATCTAATTTTTTCCCACATCAAGTGCCACAGTTCTTGCCCACTACAAGATTTTCTGGCTCAAGCTTCCTGGTCCTGTCATATCTCAGGGTGACGTGACTCCCGCTCCATCTCAATCAACCACCGTCATGTCTACAAACTCAGCAAGCCCCTCTATACTGCCTCAGCCAGTACGTGCCAAAATACGAATTATAAACGTCTCAGCTTCTATAAGCGGCATTACATCGCCTTTCATTGTAAGAATTCTCTTACAGTTCACCTCAGAGGGATGTGGCACGTCGAAGTCTTGTCTCACTGACCCTGTCAGCTGTAACCCTTCTGTGGACACAAACTGCTTCTTCCTTTCTTATTCTACTTTGGGCCAGACAGTTTCGTTTGAGCTCAGTGGCCCTGCACAGGGATATGTCTCCTTTGCTCTCTCCAAGGATAAATGGATGGTGAGCATGATCAAATGCAAACCTTCCAGTGCTACAATTGTGTTTAGTGCATTATTGATTAGATATATTCATGTGACCCTAAAGATCTTGATGTTTGGTAGGGAGATGATGATGCGTACTTGTGCATAAATGACGAGGGTCGTGTAAGTGTGGAGGCTGCACACACAACAGGCCGGACATATCCAGAGGTATCATCCAAGGTGAGAGAGCACTTTATGGTTGTGATGCTTTTTTGGCTGTTTTTAGTATTGCATTATGTTACAGCCTAATTTTAAGACCTATAAAAAAGATGTCAGCGTGTCCTCTAAGTTTTATGCAGTCGTAAATGTAATAAGCATGATTCACTTCCCTTGCAGTCTGTGCTGACTGATGTAGGCTGGAGAGTTTCTGATGGGGTCATTCAGTGCAAGTTCTCCAGGTCCATCTACACTCCTCAGGATCCGGTCCGATTCAGCCTTAACAGCAGTTACTACCTGTTTGTAGCACACGGGACTGCGGAATATGGTGAGCTTTTTAACTGCATCAATGACATACAGAAATAAACAAGCCAGCTGAAATAAAATATAAATATTAGATGAAAAATTTTTTTAGAAAATGACACAAAAATGAGAAATATTGCCTGAGAAACTAACAGAAATATAATCATTTTAAAGGGATAGTTCACCCAAAAATGAAAACATTTTCATCATTTCCCTCATGTCATTCCCTCTGCTGAATACAAAAGAAGATATTTTGAAGAATGTTGGGAACCAAACAATTGCTGGTAGCCATTACTCTAATAGTATTTTTTTCCATATGAATATGAACTAGAAAGCTGAATAGAAAAATAAAAAAAGACAAAACCACATAAAGTGACTAAAATAAAAGCTGAAAATATAAAAATAAAACATTACAAACAAAATATTAATAAATACTATAATAGTATATAAATAATACTAAAATAACACTGATGACATACTACAATAGCTACTGTAGATTAAATGTTCTGATCTGCCTTATGTGTGTAAAACTATGGCTTTTTTAACTTCTAGATTTACAGCATGCTGAATTACAGTAGCAATTGTCTTTCCGGTCATGGCATCCTTCAGCATTTTCCAAAAGGGCTGTATTTCACCTTCTTGGAAAAAGTTTTGGCAAATGATTAAGCGTCTCATCAGATACAGTGTCGCGTGTAACCTTGTTTTATGGCCTCCGCACTGCGTGTTACTCCACAGATCCGGATTTCTGACTTTACTGATTAACAAGTGTCTGTGAAGACCTGAGCAATCAGTACTCGTTTCCTGTCATTTATTTTATGACCGGGTCACTGGGTGCATGGGGAATAAAATAGTCACAGCTAGCTTGCTAAAGCCTGAATTAAACCTTTACAAGGAAACAAGCATAAATACATTTGTAAAACACTTCGATCAGGTGATGTACTGAATGTTTACAGCAATTGTCTTGCATTTTAGAGGAACTTCGGATACAATTTTTTTAATATGCTATCTTTATGGTATGATCGAAATGATGTGTGACATTAAGCTTTAGTCAAGTTATCTCATCAGTTTTGTTATTGTGCTGCAGGTATGATCCACAGACACACGTGGCAGCCACTGATATCGTCCCATCATCAGATCATTACCGGCCCTCCTGAGATACTGACAGGATCTCGATCGCCACTGCTCATGAAATATCATGGTAAGTGTTCTGCTCTAATTAAGTTTACTGCAGGATACTGAGAATCCCCTGAATGGTTAAATGTATGGTCAGGAAATGGAAATGTTGCATGTTCAAACCCTGGAATGGGCAATCCATGAATTATCACCACTGTGCTCTTAAAAAGTGTACAGTAGCTGGTGTGGATAACGGATCAGTTAAATGACAAATTGGTTATTTAATAAACCACTACATTTTACAAGAAATGTGTGTAAAATGCAAAATACTGTGATTTGCAAGTTTCCAAATAGAATATAAAATATATAATTTAAATGCAGGAGCTCTAATGCTGATTGCCTGGATGCTAGCAGGAAGCACTGGAAAAATAATGGCTGCCTATTTTAAACCTGACTGGCCAGAACAAACATTGTTTGGGCAAAAAATATGGTTTCAGGTATGCTTTTATACAGTATGTGTATACACTTATGTAGTATATACACTTATGCTTCTATTTCAATAAAATCTATAAAATCAGCATCTATGTTTTTGTGGTTGCTTGCATATTCTGAACTTTTATTTTACTTAGTATTCATAGTTGTCTGCATATTTAATATTTTTCATAATTAAATTTTTTTTCACAGGTGCATCGCATGTTGATGTCTCTTACAGTTTTGCTGACAGCTGTGGGCTTTGTTTTTCCTTTTGTCTACAGAGGAAAATGGAGCACAGTGAGTAAAGCCTGTGTTTTCGGCCTATGAGGCTATGCTCTGTAATACAATGTAATTTATCTTTAAAACAGTGACAATATTAAATATATGACATTTCACAGTTTCACTCCTTGCCATTGGGGGGCCCTGTTTCATTTAAGACTAATGTCAGGATCAGAGAGTGTTTGTTATTGTGGTGTGGATTTTATAATATTGTAGCCTGTGTTGAATTGTCTACAATATGTGTTTATATATAGGTTCTATGCAGTTATTTTAGTATTATTTATATACTATTTTAGTATTTCTTTATTCAATATTTTAATATTTTGAATTAGCCTTCATTTTCCATATTAATTTTAGTTTATTTTTATTGTACTTTTATTGTTTTTACTTTTATACTCATATTGTTGTGTGTTATTTTATTTTTAATAAGCTCTTGTTTTTTGTTAAAGGGGTCCTATTATGCTTTTTCACTTTTTCAACTAGTTAGTCTGTAATGTTGCTGTTTGAGCATAAAAAAGATCTGCAAAGTTACAAAGCTCACAGTCCACTTCAAAAGGAGATATTTTATTTAACAGAAATCACTTTTCAAAAACTACAACGAATGACTCGTTTGGACTACAACGCATATTTTCCGGGATTTGTGATATCACAAATATCGACGAATGGGACGAGACCTGGTTGAGCTGCGCTAGAGAAGGCAACGAGTGTTATCAGTATGTTGGAGACACGCTAGCTTTCTCAAGGCAGATGAACTTAGTGTGGTTACAATCATCCGGGTTTAAATCGCGCTCAAATTGATTTGATTTTGACGCAATATTTACACTGAAGGTAGCAGGCGGCTATGGTAAGGGGCATGACATTTCCCGACCAGGCGCCGAGGGCTGCCAATCACAACACACACTGGCCCACTGGCCCAGCTAACCAATCACAACACACACTGGCCCAGCTAACCAATCACAACACATTTCGTATTTCAGAAGGCGGCCCTTCACTTGATACAGGAACTATTCGAGCCGTTCATGCCAGACTGGGGAAAGAGGAGTTGTAATAATGTAAAATATGTGAAAAATAATGTGTTTTTCGAACAACCTAGTATGAGAGCCTGTTCTAGTACACCCCCAAAACAAAATCAAGACTTTGTAAAACAGCATAATAGGACCCCTTTAAATATTTGTAAAACAAACATATTTTTAAGTTAATTACTCAATAATAAGTTGCTCCAACTAATGGATTTGTCAGCCTGGAACCAATTTATATGATCAAAATCAAGGCTTTGTAAAAGAGCATAATAGGACCCCTTTAAATATTTCTATATAGCTTTATTACACTTTTACAGTTCATTGGAGTTTTAGTTTAGTCTAATCCTAATTCTAATATTTCAGCTTTATTTCAATGAACAAAAATAGTTTTGTAATAGTTTTAGTTTTAGATAACAATACTGCAATGACACTGGTTCTGTGCAGAGAGCTGGTGCTCATCCATACCTCGGCTGCACTGTTATGATTCTCGCTTTCTGTCAGCCTATAATGGCTGCATTCAGACCAGCTCCAGATTCCTCACGGTAATGACTCCTCAGTTTACTTGAATATAACACAACTTGAACATATAACTTAACACAGGACAATCATTTCTTTTTCTCAGGCGATGGATTTTCAACTGGTTGCATTGGGCTGTTGGAAATGCTGCTGAGATTATAGCCGGTGAATTTGCTCTTTGTAATTTTGCAATTTCTATCAGTAATATCACATTGAATTTTTTTTTTTAAATGTCAAGTAACTTTATTATTATTATTATTTCAGTGGTTTCCATGTTTTTTGGAATAAGGCAACAGTCTCTTTTGCTGCCTTATCCTTGGACCACAGGGCTTCTCTCTGCTTTTGTGGTTTGGACCATTGTGTTAAAGCTGGTGTTAAAACTTCATAAGCATGATGTTATTAGAAAAGGTGTGTATGTAACTCATTCTTATTTTTAATTCATTTGAAAGACTGCAAAAGCAGTTCAACCTCATTTAACTGTATTTTAATTTTATTTGTTTAAAAGTTTTTGGTTCATAAGTGACACGTTCCCAATCTGATTCAGCTGGGAGTACACGGTGCCTATTGAGTCACGTTCCCTCTGCCTGGGGTTCAGACATAAATTGCAAAATGATTCAAACTGAGAGTGAAATGAAGCAAAATATGTTGTTCAAAATAATATATTTGTATGTTTAGCAATTTCTCTTGTTTCAGCAGGGAGTGGAAAGGAAGATGAACGTCCAGTTCTCTCAGACATTTCAGAGGATGTTACCTGGGTAAGTTATTACACTTTACTCAAACATAATGGTGGAGATGAAAACACTAAAGGATCAGTTCACCGAAAAATGAAAAGTTGGCTAAAATTGACACCCTCAAGCCATCCAAGAATTAGATGAGTTTGTTCTTCATCTGAACAGATTTGGAGAAATTTAGCATTACATCACTTGCTCACCAATGGATCCTCTGCAGTGAATGGGTGCCGTTCAAACAGCTGATAAAAACATCACTATAATCCGCAAGTAATGATTCCAGTCCATCAATTACTGTCCTGCGAAGCAATAACCTGTGAGTTTGTAAGAAAGAAATCCAACATTGAGGCATTTTATCTTTAATCTGTAATTTCTGGCCAAAATACCAGTCCATAGTCCATAATAATGTTCATCCGCTCAAAATCCATCAACATGTTTGTTTAGAATTGTTTTGGACTGTTTTCACTTCTAAATGGTGCTTGATTTATGCATATTTCTCTCCTGCTTGAGACTAGATGACTTTTTCGCTGAAGAAAGCAATATTATGGATAGAGCACTCATATTTTATCTGAAAGCAACAATTTGAAGTTAAAAACATCTTATTGATATATTTGTTTCTTACAAGCATACAGCTTTCGGTTCACAAGATGTTCATTTGATGGACTGGACACTGGAGTCATGAGTATTACCTGTGGATTTTTGTGATGTTTTTATCAGCTGATTAGACTTTCACTGTGATGGCACCCATTCACTGCAGAAGATCCATTGATAGGCATATGATGTAATGCTAAATTTCTCCAAATTTCTTCCAACACAGCAACAAACTCACCTACATCCTCTTATATACAGTATAAATAAATTTTCAGCAAATATTTTATTTTTGGGGTGGACTCAGTGGCGTAACTTTGCTTTGAAAAGTGGTGGGGACACCTCACAACTCGTTTTGCTAGTTTTTTATTTAATAACCTAATTTACTTGGGGACTGGGTTTAGAGTTGGACAAACTTAATTTTTGCTTTTCAAAAATACATCGATGTTCCAGGGGCGGCGCCTGAGAATTTTGAACGCAGGTGCTGAGGGGGTGCTAGATCATTGACAGAGGGAGCTGGGCTGCGTTTCCCAAAAGCTTCGTAAGCCTAAGAAGTTCGTAAAAACGATCGTACGACTGATGTTAATATTACGGTCTGTTTCCCAAAAGCATCGTAACTTAAGTAGCACTTGAAAATCATCGTAGTACCACGAGTGCTCTGGAGTAATCGTAAAGCCCTAAGTGCATTTTAGAAGACAGGTTTATGCGGTCACCTGCAGGACAGTCGGCAGATTACACCTTTAACTTTATTCAAGTGCAATGTGATTATAATATATAAGGATATGATTGTACTTTATTGTACACTTTATTACTCGTTTTTGTTGTTGTTGTTTTTTTAAATGAATTTATAAATGAAATAATTAAAAATAGAAAAAATAGAAATACACCTAAATTAAATGACTGAACAACCTTCCGCAATGTATTTTTCAATTACTTTCAAAAAGTGGTAGGGACAATATCGACCCTGGCAAAAAGTGGTGGGGACATGTCCCACCCGTCCCACCCGCAAATTACGCCTATGGGTGGACTGTTCCTTTAATTGTTCCTTAAACAAATTAGGTATTGCAATACGCTCAACAAAAACTTACCATCAAGGCCTACAATAAGGCTCAAGATTAAGCATGTACATAATGTTCTTCTAAGCATCTTAACCAAATACTCTTATTTTTGCTTCCACAGGATACTAAGTTTAGAGTGGCTGTCCTTGCTGTTTTTGTGCTTGGAAACTCAGCATTCTGTATCTCACTGCTCGCCTCCATAGGGGACATATAACCAACATATGAGTCATATGGCACTACAGAAATTGGAATGAAGACCTAATTATTTATAGAGCAAGACAAGTCATTATCAGTTTCATTTTATTCAAGGTTTGAACAGTATTTTGCATTGAAAACATCCTGCAAGGAAGAAACATATCTATTAAGACATTTCAAACATGAATATTATGAATTAAATTTCACACATCTTTTAAATTATTTTTACAGAAGAATAAATGTTCACATTATATCCAGACAATCAAAGCATAACACATTTAAAAGGCTCACAATGTAATTATTGTACAGAAGCCAGCTACTTTTCTTCTAACACCTCTGGAAGCTACATCCACAATATACTCTGTTAGACATTCCAAGCAGCGGCCTTCTCTGGTCTTAAATTGCACTTTTGATCAGATTAAATCAAAGACAAATGTATTTTTATTTGCTTCTGCTCTTCACTGTATGGTTAATGTAACATGTTATGTAATGTGAAATTAGAATAATACATTTCTCAATGTTTGGCATCATTTTTGTACATAGTGCAATTTAGGATTACATTACTGTATAAATTCTTCTTCTGCAATAATATAAAAGTGTTTACAGGATAAAATTCAGAGTGAAATTACTAGCATTCAAAAATGTTTTAAAAGGTATGACATCAGTTGTTAATATTTTTACTCACCTATTAAGTTCTAGGTTTGTCTTAGTAATGAATGTTTTACTCTAAAACTACTTGCACATGCTTATACTGTAATGGAAACTTGATTTGTGCTTCAGTGCGTCATATAGGCAAATCACTCAGTCTTGTTGCTGATGATTGGCAAAGATACCTGCCTCCCACCTCTGGGCCAGGGCACTTTTCCGTCTGACTCGAGGGTAAGGTCCCTCAGGGAACTAAAGGAGAAAGCTTCACCTGTAAAACTGCATGCAGTTTCCAGTTTCAAGGTGAAATGGGCACAGATCAATGAGATGTCAAACACGTGCAAATGAAAAACAGAAAGATACACTGCAATGGAATTCATGACAGTTAAATATGATTCATGAGAGGACAAACAGAAAAATATGTACAGTTCAAAAGTCTGTAACTTTAAATCATAGCATGCCTAAATTTAATGTACCTTGTGGTCGCAAGACAAAGCGGAGCGATCCATTTTGCGCGTCTTTGATGGAGATGAGGGGGATGACTTGGATTTTGCTGGCACCTCTCCTGTAAAGTTTCCAAATAAAAGAAAGGACATTTACTGAACTACATCTTTATGTAATGACATAAATGAAGTAAATGCTCTAATGCAGGGGTGTCCAATCCTGCTCCTGTAGGCCCCTGTCCTGCAGTTTTGCTCCGACCCCAATTAAACACACATGAACCAGCTAATCTAGGTCTTACTAGGCATACTAGAAACTTCCAGGCAGGTGTGTTGAGGCAGGTTGGAGCTAAACTCTGCAGGACAGTGGCCCTCCAGGACCGAGTTTGTACACCCCTGCTCTAATAGTTGCTGAATGTGGTACCTGGTTTCTCATAAGTGAAATTCTGCAGTTGGCTGGGGGACACGAGGACTGTGTCGCATCTCTCCTTTACATAGAGTTGTGCTCTCTGCCTTCTAAGCTCCTCTTCTCTTTGCCTCACCAGCTTGATCTCCTGATCCACCAGAGACTGAGTGCTGTGGGAGCGCAGTTTGAAGAAGGGGTTGTTCTGAAAGGTGCTCTCTTGTGTCTCTTGACATGCAGAGCTCAGGCAGAATTCCGAGGCACTTCGAATGATGAGATTTGATGTCTCCAGGATAATGACATTATTCATGTCTGATGGCCATTCTTGGAAGCTGCTCGTCCCTGGAGAAAGCATCCCACCTTTTCCTCGGCTCCGTGGGCTGGTGGGGTACGAATCCGGCTCAAGTATAATGACATTGTTGGCGGTCATTTCATGGTATGTGGGACTTCTTCCAGATGTAGCAGTGACGGACAAAGTTGGAGTCTTTGCACTAGGAGACCTCTGAGATCTGCATCTGTCCTCTGGAGTGTCAAACATATTTCCTTTATCTCCAGGCTCTGACCTGCTGTGGTGAAGAACACCAGGCCTGGGTTTAACTTGCATAGTGTCTTCAGCAGACATCTTTGCCATTGCTCTTTCTCGTCTGAAATTCTCCTCTCGCTCGAGAGCTTCACGGATCTCCCTCTCCACTGGAGTTTCTGGCTCATCATAAGGAGACCTGTAGCTTGTGTCATCTAGACCAGAGTCCTCTGAACAGGGGCTGAATTGAGTGTACTGGTAATCCCCCAGACCAAGACTCTCAATGTCAGGGTCTCTTCTGGGGCGATCAATGTTGCGGACAGGCGTGTACATGAAGCTGTGTCCACCCTGGCAAGATGCCTGCCTCATCACTGGCCGGTGCACCAGACCCTTTGTTTGCTCTTCCATCTTCTGCCACTGCTTGCGAGCCACCCTAAAATCCAGATGCTCCGTGCTGACATTCTCGCTCTTTATTTCCTGAACCACGCAGAAGTCTTTTGGCAACTTTTTGTCAAGCTCTGAAGTTGAACAAGACAGGCGCTGAAGGTTGTGCTTTGAGGTTTTACCAAGCTCTTCCTCATCCTCTGCAATCTTTGTTAGACTACAGTAATGGGCAGAGGACTCCAAAGAAATATCTTGCAGCTCACATTCAGTGGGACACTCTGGTTGTTCTAGAATCTCACTTTCATTCATGTTCAAAGCCAGAGCTTCTTCTTCAAGTTCAGCATTGCTATCAATCACCTCATTGTCTTCCTGCCTTGCTTGGTCTTCCGAGTTTACCTCTGCTTCATCCATACCCAAGAGATCACCGTTCTCTTCAATCTCTTCTTTATCAACAGCTGATGGAGCTAAAGACCTCCACGGCTCCTCAGCATCACTGTCTGATGAAATAATGGCCATCTCCACCAGCAGACAGTCACTTAGGTCATCTCGATCCATATCCGTACAAGATTCAGATGGGAATTCAGAAATCACAAGCTCATTCATTTGCTGCTCCAGCACAGATTTTTCTTGTGCTTCCAACACAGATTCATCTCGTTCTTCCAGCACAGATTCTTCTCGTTCTTCCAGCTCAGTTTCTTCTCGTGCTTCCAGCACAGATTCTTCTTGTTCTTCCAGCACAGATTCTTCTTGTATTTCCAGCACAGATCCTTCTTGTGCTTCCAGAACAGAATTGTCTTGTGCTTCCACCCTCTCTTCAGGTTCATCATGTTTATCCTCCTGGGCATCATCCAAATTGTTGATTTCCATTTCTTCTTCTGGTTTGTCATTCACGAGAGGGTCTTCATTAGACTCAAAGGCCAAAGATTCTCTGCTGTCTGGGTCATCTTGCTCGTTGACCTTGACCAGAATGCCTTCTTGAGAGTCTTTGCTTCCATCAGATTCACCTGAGCTATCACATTCATTAGTTATGGCTTTGTTTTCTTGCCCACCCAGATCTTCTTGTGGGTTGCTCTGTTTGGTATCCAGGCACTCTGAGAAATATGTGACAAAACATTCATTCACCTCCTCAGTGAATTGGCATGTCTGGTCCTCTGTAAACCCAGGATCCATTTTACAGTCTGTTAGATCAGCCATTTCTGAAAGCTGGCTGGTCTCCATAGTGACTGTTTCAGAGAGGTATTCTTGCTCTTTTTGTTGCTGATTTACAGAGGTGCTTTTGCCGTCATTTAGTTCACTTCCATATGACCTTCGCACACCAGCTGTGGCTCTCTATGGAAGTTACATCGAAAAGAGCTGTTTAGAATTAAAGGAACACCAAGCTTAGCAATACTAAAATCATTGAACATGTCAAACACTAACAATATTTTTTTCCTAGTCTTGCTCCTTGAAAAGTTCTGGATGCAATTCGTATAGACAACACTGAGCAAGAAGAACCAGCCTTGTGCTGTTTCTAGTGGAACTGTACAGTGTCAGTGATCAAGCTATTCTTGTATTCATGCTGTGCGATAGAAGTGGGAGGACCTCTTTGATAGCAAATAACCATGAGAAGTGGTTTCTAACAGCATGCAATCTCAAAGTGGGCTGAAAATCTACATTAAAGTATGTTTTAGAAGCCTAAAAGAAATTCAGAGCCACAAAATATGTGGCTTCTAGAGAACACAGAATTCTTCTTCAATTTTACCCCTGAGTAGGTTAAGTAGGTAATTTCAAATAAAAGCTATAATATGCTGATGAATTTTGGGTTCAATTGGTTCAGTTCAACTGGGTTTAATAAGGGAGAACTCTAGGAATAGTCTGAAAATCCCTGCTCTAATATAAATCAAAAACATATATGGCAAGTTGTGATCACAAAACTTCCTAAGCTTTAACAAAGCGAAGGTGAGCACTTCTGAGGAAGTACACTTCATTCTTGAAAGTACTATTAATCCAAAATCTAATTAGATGACTGCATTTAGTTACAAGAACTAATTAAATCATTTTAAATGTCTGTTTTATCATTTATCACTTAGCAGTTTGCCATCCCCTTCTATGTGCTGCTTCAGTGTTTTCACTCATAAAATATAAAGCTTACAGTATGTGGATGATCATAATGCCATTTCATATGATACTGTCATAGTCATAATTTATTGGCATGATATGATTTCAGTCTGTTTTGCGTTTTTTCCCCTGAAAAGTAGTGGTTGCTTGGCAACATGCTGGATCTGAGGAGGCTGTCCTGTTTATGAGCCATGTAGAAGCAGCTCACTAGTCAGAGCCAACCTTATCAAAGTGCCATGCCGTAGGTTTATTATGGCTATCAGCCTGAGTTTATCCAGTGAGAGAGAGAGAAACAAATCTATTGCTCATATCGAGCAGTTGGGATGTTCTTTTATGCATGCCTGCTGGTGCTGTGACCACCATTAACCCCAGACCCATCCTGCCTGTTTTGAAAAATACATTTCTGATGTCTGAACATTACAGTACATCCACTTTGACAGAGGTGTAATTATGCAGAGGAAAAATGATGTCATCAGATATTATCCAATAAGTGTGACTGTTACATTAAAGGGATAGTTCACCGAAAAAAA